ATGCGTCATTGAACCACTTGATGTAGCCCCGGATGGATTCTCCCTCTCTTTGCACTATGCTGAGGAGACTCTCTTCAGCTCGCGGACACCGCTTGCTGGTGACGAAGTGGGACGTGAAGGCTTGCGCGAACTACGCCCAACTTCTTATCAACCCAAGTGCCAGGTTCCGGTACCACGTACGGGCTGCTCCTCTAAAATTGGTGGAGAAGGCCACGCACATGCACGATGGGTTGAATGACCCATCGTACTTGTCGAGAGGGGGGAGCTTAAAATCTTTAGGCATTGGGACTGCCAGGAGCTCGGGAGATAGGGGGATTGAACTGAAAAGATGGGGGCCTTGACTTCACCCGAGCTTACTTCTTCTTTGCCTCCGAGCTCTGACAAGTCGTGGGTGGCGGACCGGCGAGCTCGGCATCGTCGTCTCTATTTCTTGGCGGGCTCGGCATTTGTACTGCTTACCTTTGTACTGTCAGGAACGGTGTGTGCAGGAAGCAGCTCAGGCTGCTGGTGATGGCTACGGACAGAGGGCTCCTTCTTGGAGCCTACGGCCAGGATCTCGAATCGGTTCTCTAAGAACATGGTATTGGCTTGGAGGGCTGAGACGATGTGGACTTGGCGAGCTGGGGTCCTTCCGACCTAACCTCCCGTGGCAAGGCCGGAGTGGCCGGCCATTCCTGTCTGCTGCGGGAGGAGGCCTGGCTCCTTGGAGGGTTCCGGGGGGATTTTCCTTGGCAGGAAAGGTGCTCCTCTTGATGATGGGACCTAGCCTGCTGTGAGGCTGGCTGCCGAGGAGGGAGTTGCGATTGTTGAAGCTGAGGTTGCGGCAGCTGGGGAAATTGCTGCTGATACTGGTACTGAGAGACCTGGTGCAACACGTGCTGTTGATAGATCTGAAACTACTGAAACTGTTGCATTTGAGCCTGCATGGCCCGCATGCACTACACCAAATCTTCCAGCTGGTTTGGGCTAACCGCTGAGGGCACAACCAAGGGTTCTGTGAAGGTTGTTCCGACTGTGGTAGGGAGTGGAGCAATGACGGGTGCCCCTGCAAGAGGCACGTTCAAACTAGGGATCCCATCCGCTGAGAAGGGGACGGTGAACTGTCCGACACAGACAGTAGGGAACTGGGGCTGTTCCGTAGAGTTATTCATCTCCGTTCTTCATCCGATGTTGCTAGAGGAAGCCATGAGCGTTGAGTTTTTGGAGAGTAAAAAGATGTGAAAGTTTAGAGAAAGGCTTTTCGAAGCGTTTCCCACAGACAACGTCAAATGATGTAGCGTGATCCAGTCACTCCTAGCTGGCACTCACGTGGCTCCTGGAAGGTACCTGAGATGAGGAAGAAGA